GTAAGTCCAACATAAAACCTTTCGCAGCCAAATGAAAACATGGAACCAGAACAAAATCTAGAGGATAACCATATCCTAAATCCAAAAAGAGTTTGCGAGGGTATATGGTGTAAATGTCGAAGATGAGAGTATTAGATTTAAAGAAAAACTAATGAGAAGAACTTGTAAACTTTGATTTTTAATAATAAAAATCAAATAAAAAGTAAAGTGAATAGTACCATGATTGACTTTTTAGCGTAAAAATATAATTTTTCGTTAAAGTAAACAGTACCGTAAGTTTTTCATTAAAGTTCCCTAGATTTAAAGGTTGTTTATCTTTTGTATCATTTATGTTTGAGGTGGTTTTCAAAATGGTTCATAAGGGTTAAAATTTTTTTTTTTTTTCACATCGCGCTCACCATGAGATTTAAGATTGTATCAATTGACACCTTTTGTTTATTTTACTTAATGTGGTGCAAATATGGTTTATATGTGAACTTAATTACAAGTTCTATACTCACCAATCACCATGTCATTAATTTAATGAATATTCAAATGTTTCATTAGACAAAAGGCATAAATTATTACAATTTCAAAACTTCCAAGGTGCAATATGAGAAAATTAAAATCTCATGACAAGTTTTAAAGCTAGAGGTTGTAAAATATAATTAACCCTAAATTTAAATTTCAGTTAACAATTGGTGGTTGTACACAATAATTTCCACACAATGTATAGTGTTAATTTTTTTTCCTTTTGTTAAATAAGGACAGGAGAATATGTCTGGTGAAATAAGGACAATAATTGTGCAAATATTGAAATATATAAATAACAACAAGGACAATTAATAATGATGTTGGAAAAAAATGGGTGAACGTAACAGATACGGTAGTAGTTAAAAAGAATGGGGGACATTATGATAGGTGCAAGGTTTACCATTGAAGTCGCTTTTGAAAGTGAAATTTGCAGTGTTTAGGGGGTTTCAAGTCCAATATTAATATATAAGCAATAAAAAAAATAATAGTAAAACATAGACTATGAGCAGAAGAAGCGCAGGGAACCCCGCAGGCTTAATACTACAAAATACTAATCTTAATTAATGTAGTTCTTATAAGCCCTTCACATTTTATTTGATTTTTCTGCGTATTTTTTATCTTGGTTTGGAGTAGGCAATTACATGTTGACCTGATTGTTAGGCTTGAGAAGAAGGTAACTTATGACCAGATCAAAATCGTTTGGAAATACTTTTAAAATAACTGAAAACACTATTGGTGAAATTGTTTTAGGAACTAATTTTTAGTAAAAACGCAAGTAAGTCCTGCACTTAAATTGTTTCCTGGAAGAATCGACCAATATCATTCATTTCAGAGGAACATGCTAAACAAAGAAGGAAAATTTAAACAGATGTGAATTTCTTCACTGATTAAGCATAACCTTTATTGGGCAGGAAAAACGAGAGTGAAATCTGTGTTTTGGTGCTGTGAAACGTGTTCTTTTTGAGCTTTATGGAGGTGGGAAACTGGCTAAACTTTTATATGTTCCGGAACTTCGTTTTCAATTGACACGTGATCCTTTATATGGAACAAATGCAATGACTTGTGAGTCTGACTATGGAGGAGCTTAAGCATTGACATCGAGGTTGACGAAGTGGAGGACAGAAGCTAAGCATACAATTGTAAAGAGAAATAATGAGTATGGTGGAATCATAGGTCAACAACGACTGTTATTTTTTTTTTTTTTTTTGGCTTGTACATATTTACTAGTGTTAGACCGTTAGTAAACAACTAGTTTTATCATTGTAAAATGTTTTAAATAATTTGCAATATATAATATTTTAATTTGAGCTAAAGGATGAATTTGTTTTGTTTTGTACATTTTGTTAAAAAAAAAAATGAAAAAAACGATTACTAATTTTAGGAACCAGCAAGTTTTGCTCCCTGCGAGGAAAGTTTTCTCGTATCCTTTAGCGAGAAATTTTCAAATTTCTCGCCAAGTTTTTAGATTTTACACCTTTTGGAGGCATCCTAGTAGCGAGGAAAGGACATTTTAGTGATGATCAATCTGATTTTCAGCAATGAAATAATCGTCGCAATAACTTTAAGAGCGAGGAAAATAATTCTTGCTGCAGACTAGGGCTACTAAGAGGACCTGGTGAGGAATATTTTTTCTCGCCAAAGACATTTCATGAGGAAAATATCCTCGCTTTTTCGTTGTAGTGTACATTGATGCATTAGGACTGTGTAGTTTGGCATGTTATATTATTGGATTAAAGTGAGGACTACATATTCAAATATGATGGGGCTTGATTTTGTGGATAATATGACAACTTATTAATAAATGCATATTTTTGACATGATAGATTATTTGATAAAAGTAATATATTTAACTGAAGTTATTGGTGTTAGCCCACTAATGAGGGTGAATGTGGGGTGATAAGTATGAGTAAGCTCGATTCAAGGTTTGTAACTCTCCAGTGCAATCGAAAATATACTAGCAAATGATGTAAGAAACTTGAACTAATTGAAATCAAAGGGCAAATATGTTGCTGACAGACTTACAGTAATAATACCACTAATTATTTACTTAGACACAAGTCCAAAGGATATAAAATAGAAAGAAAATAATCTAAAGAAGTTAGATTACAGAAAATTTCCTTCTCTGAGCCTTATGACTTAAACTGTGTGCTTAATTAGGAGGATATATAATTGGTCTCAAGTTCTTTGTTTAGGGATAGGATAAAGATTGAGTAAACGCTATCAGTTTAGACATCTCGTATGGTATGTCTAACAAGATCTCCATATTACCAATAATATAAATTAGTCTTTACACTTGAGATATCATAGTTGTCTTATTAATAAATTGTTGATTTTTGATAATACTCGGGTCGAAAAGAATGTGTCTCTAAGTATTGTTGGGATCTGCGGTTGATCCATACAGACGTGTGAATACACTCTTAAAAATCCATACTAAAGGAGAAGAATATTCAACATATGATTCCAGAATCTTTTGCTTGAGTATTGACTGTAATTGAGAAAGAGTTCTAATCACATTAACTCATGTGAATCATGTGAAATTTAGAATTGACATTTGAGGCACGCTTACATGAATTTCGTGCTCTAATACTGTGTGATAAAAGTAATGACGTAAGAACGACCATATTGCAGTGCAGTTCTAGTTAAATAGATTTTCTACCGTTTTACTTAGTTTTGGTAGCTGTGATTAGTGTTTAAAACTTCCACGAAAGTGTCGATATTTATGTCGAAATATCCAATAAATAAGGATTGATATGGAAAGGGTGAAATGCATTCACGCTATATCAGCGAGTTATAGGAAAGTCAATGAATATCGATGATCTTTTACCAATTTATTATAGAAAATTTGCCGAACTCATTGCAGATCTCCAATTTTTAAATTTCTTTTTTGAGATATTTTTTTTTCTAATTTCGGCTAAACCTGAATTAGTTAATTTACCCACTCCATATCATATTTCCATAATTTCTGTCAAACGTAACCGATATTGATATATCCATAGGTTTGTATATCGATTTTCACTTTTATTGATGTTTTAAACAATGACTATGATATATTGTTAGCTAGGTCTCATTCTTAACCTTACATAAACCCTAAGGATTACCGATAATGATTCATGATAAATGGGATTCGCTAAGGTAACATATGAAACTATATTTAACGATGTATATGTAGCAAGTGGCCATTTACAACAGTAGTGGAAAAGAGTTAGGTTCTTACATGGCGACGACATGCGTTTTCGAACCTGTCAATGACTAATCTAACATCTAATCTAAAATTTATTTTTTTTAACAAAAATAAAATGATGTATATGTCTATCAAATGACAAATACATTGAACTAGTTAACATGTTAGACTTTACGATAAGATAACGTATCAAAACACATCTAACAACATATCTACTAGTAAAAGACGCAATTACATTCAATTATTAGCATACTAAACTAGCTGATATGGTAATATATCTAGAGTATCTGTATACTCATTTTTTTTACTTTTCATATATTCTCTTAATTTACGATCATCAGAATGAATAAATTGAAGAAGATAATGACTAAAAATTAAAAAGCGTACATGAAAACTAAAAATAAGCGCGTAAAAAACATTATTCTATATCAATTAGTTGTTTAGTTTTCAACTGCGGTATACATACCATGTTAAGCTATTTGAAAACCATGCCCAACATCAAATTGCTCCTCTACTTTAAATATTAAACATTAAATAAAGAAGAGGGAAAGGGTGGAGTGGGGGGTAAAAGTGTGATATTATTCATGGTGTCTATAATTGTCAACAGGGAGTGTTTGTCGTGTAGTAGTGGGACACTATGGGGCGTCTGAGATTGGAATTAAAGAGAAAGAAAGAGAGCGGACAATTGATATTAGAATGGAGAAATGAGAATTTTTTTTTGTGAAGTTTTAATAAAAATTTTTTGATACTGTTTATTTTAATGAAAAATTGTATTTTTACATTAAAAAGTCAATTCAGTTAATATTCATTTTATCATTTATTTTGTTATTATCGTTAAAACTCAAAACTTTCAAATAATTTTTATTAATTTTTTTTCTATTTATTGAAAACATAATCTGGTAATTCAAGTTTTATAAAACAATTGAGATTTGAGATACATTGAAATTTTTTATTTTTTTATTTTGTTAAATACTGTGAAATTTTTCTCTTGACCAAGGGCAATGACTATGATAAAAATCAAGGATTAAAAAATGAAAAAGATGAAATATGACATATGAGGGTGTAGGGTAGGTATAGGATAGGACACGTTTGTACTGTATTTCCTTTGTTTATTTTTCAAGAAGAAAAACCACACTCTTCCTCTCTCTCTCTTACTTTCTCTTTCTCTATCTCCATCTTTCTCTCTCTCTCTTCAAAACTCTCTTATAACGCATATTCACAGATGGGAGGTGAATCGTGGGTGTTTAATGGTACAAACCTGCTTTTTGAAGAGAAAGAGAACCTGATGCCCTTTTGATGTGTGAGTGGGTGGTGCTGTTTTTCTCACTTCTCTCTCTCTCTCTCTCTCTCTCTCTCTCTCTAGAGTTGCTTAATAGTCTCCAAGACTACATTTTTCTCTCTCATTTCGCAGACCAAACCAACCCAGGAAAAAAAAAGCTTCAAAATCAAATAATCCCCATCTAAGCTAGCTGCGATTTCTTTGATCTTGGGTTTGTTTTCTCTTCCTCAAAAACTGCTTCTTTTTTGAATTTTGTTTCTCTTTCTTGCTTGCACAAATGGAAACAAGACCAGAATCTGGTCATGGGATTTAAACTAGATTTTGTTGTCTCAGATGTGTTGGGATTTAAACTAGATTTTGTTTACTTCATGTTCAAAGATTTGGTCTTCTTTCTTTGTAAATCTCTCCTCTCACTCTACTTGTTGGGTTTTGTCAGATTAATTTCTTGCCCAAAAAATTCATCTTTTGGGGAGTTCATAAATCATGATCTCATGCTGTTGCTACTTCAAATCTTTCATGATTTTTCTATGAAGAGATTGGATTTGTTGTCGAACTATGGTACATAGGGATTGTTGAGTCTAAAGTCTCAAATTTTGACCAATATTTCCACATAAAATATCACTCCCATGAACTTTTAGACTCCAGAAAAAAATTGAATATCTTTACTGTTGGGTTCTGTTGTTTGCTTGCTCAATTGGGTTCCTTGTTGTTTCGATGATTTTGAAAAATAATTCAGATGCTTTAATTTCACTCACTCGCTTCACATAAAATAACGTTTCTTGAACTGGAATAATAATAATCTCCTACCTTGTTCATAATCTGGACTCTGTCCTCAAAAACCCATGATCTCATGCTCCTTTTTCCTTTCTCTTAATTGCAGGTTGATGTTATGGATGAAGATTCTAATGGGATTGTTTGATTTTTCTTCATTTGCTGCTTTCTGCTAGTATTTGCGTTGCTGCTTGGAGTGAACAGTAATAATTCTAGAGATAGAAAGAAACTTAGTGAGAGAAAGGGTCATTATATATGCTGAAATCTAAGTTCAAGATAAGGTGTGGAGGTAGAGAAGATATTACTAGAGCTTGTGACTGTTGGGAAAACAGCACAAGTAGAAGAGAGAAGAAGAAGCAGCTTTTCATCAGATGTTATCTTTTGAAAAACTTCCACCAGATCCCCCATGTCATCATCCCCAACCTTTGATCATCAACGATGCTAGTACTAGTCATGAGCAGCCTTTAGATCTATCTAATAATCCACCCCTTCCCAAATTCTCCATCAGGTATAATTTCTCTCTCTCTCTCTAGAAATGAAAATATGAACAGTTGATGATGATCATAACTTGGGTTTTTGTTTTTCTTACATGGGTTTCTAACTGCTTCTCTTTTTCTTGTGGGATCTCAATGTTTATCGCATATCATCTTAGGCTTGTTGAGTCAGATCCAGAGAGAGATGCAAATACATGTGGTGTTGTTGCTTGTGGCTCAGTCCAACATATGGGGGGCCTTAAGTCATGACCACCCCATCTTTGTCTCTATTTTTAGTGTGTGTGTTTTGGGGCTTTTTTTTCCCTGCTTTGGCTAATAAACGAAACTCGTTCACGGCTCTTATTCCCCCCCAAAAACCACACGTTTCTTCTTGTGATTAATTTCCCTAATCCATGCTGTTAATCCACCCAACTCAATGTTAATTGTTGCTTGTGATTTCATGTCACCCTACCTTAATCTCCCATGAGTTTTAATAAGTCTCTCAGACTGCGTTGTTTAGAAGAGAGAGACTTACATGAAACGGAGCGCTTGAGTTTTAATCCATATCTGGAGACATCATATGGATATTACTCTCAACTGTTTCTGTGTGTTTGTGTATTTTCTTTTTCCTTTTTTGCTCCAGGGTCCATTTATTTATTCCCTTTCTTTGATTAGCAACTTTCATACAATAAAGCTTGAGTTCTCTTTGGACTCAGTCTAAAGGTGTCTAAGCTTAGCTGATTGGAATTGACCGTTTGTGTGAAGAATCAGATGTAACGATGTTTTTACGTTATGCAGAGATTATGTTTTTACTTCCCGGTGCAAGAATATCGAGACCAACTGGCCTTTTTCTCAGAAGAATTTGCAACTTTGCTTGAAACATGGTGTGAACGATCTGTTGCCACCATTTGAGAATCTTGATGAAGTAAGGAACCAACCCATTAAGAGATGTATGGTTGAAAGCGAAAGGAAAACCGATCTTGATGTTTCAAAATCTTCCGGGCTAGATGATCACGCAGTATTAAAGTCTTCGTATACCAAACTGAAGGAAAAGCTAACAGAAGCTTGCACAGACACTAAAACAACCACTTCATGCAGGTCTGAAGGAGAAAATGATTTTCCATCCACACTTACGAGTATTTCTCAATCTGAAATAGAGGAGTCAGTTCCTACGAACGGGCCGTCAAGGTTGCCGTTAGAAACTGATACTTCCTTGGAAGCTGCATCAGTTGAAGCAGTTGAAACAGCAGGTCCTCCTGTTGTTGTTGTCAACAAAACCAAAAGCACGACGCGACCCTCGGGTAAGAAGTGCAGATTGGTGGTGAAATTCAGCAGCCACGCAGAGAGAAGCTCAACCGAAGATATTGCTTCGAATATTACTACCATTTCAGAAACAATGACTTCACAAATTTGCCCTGTTTGCAAAACCTTCTCATCGTCCTCTAATACCACCTTGAATGCTCATATTGATCAGTGCCTTTCCGGGGAGGCAACTCCCAAGTGGACTCTGGATTCAAAACCGATTACAAGGTACAGAATTAAGCCGAGGAAAACCAAATTGATGGTGGATATATATACTACTGCCCAGCATTGCACATTAGAAGATCTCGATAGAAGAAATGGTTCGAGCTGGGCCACGAGCGTTTCAAGCTTTCCTACTCAGGATAAGGAGAAGTCTGAGATGCCGGTTGAAGAGAAAAGGAAAAAGGTATCTTCAGTCCATCCCGATGATATTGATGTCGGTCCAGTCTATGTAGATGCCAATGGCACGAAAGTTAGGATTTTATCGAAGTTTGATGATGCACCATCGCCATCAGCGCCCAAAGCAGTACAGCATCTTCGACCAAGAAAACCTTTGAAGGCTGGTAAAGGAAGCAAATTCCTTTCAGCAAAAAAGCAAAAGCGCCATGCATCTAAACATCACAAGTACCTTAAGCTTGCTCCTCAAAGCAAAGATTTTCTCTCTCCCAAGGCTCATTCTTCTCAGGTACGCCGCTCTTGCTTTCTGTAGTTACTTTCGGCATAAGTCTCACCACCTTATTGACAGCATGCGCTTCGATGCAATAAAAGGAAAACGGATAAAGAAAAAAAACATTGCTATATTTTTTAATGACAATTATATGTATGTGCTCTCAATATGCTTGAATCCCAATGCGTTTCCTTTAGACTTTGTTGGTGCTAGCATTGCTTTTTCCGTTGAATTAAAAGGTTAATTATAATCTTTGTTGCAAATGTGGTGGTTTTCCAAAATTAACATGTGGTGAAATTGTGTTAAAACAGATTCATGGGGGTCAAGAAACCTGTGGAGCGAAAGAAAATTCCGTGGAAGGACAGCAAATGGAAAAGCAGCTCAATTCCTGTAATCCCGGAGCTTTAAGAGGATGGGTTTCTTCCAAACGCACTGGTGTTGTAAAGAAGTTGAACAAGAAGCATGTGTCTCAGAACGTTTTGGTTGAGAGTGATCAAACATGTTTAGATAACTGTCGTGTGGAGGGAATCCGTGGTAGAAAGGTAGTGAATTTGTCTGGAAATCCAATTTCTTCTCCTGAAAAAAGTGGGAGCACAGAGAATGCATGTGATGAAGCTCAAGCCAGTGAGAAAAGTGACTGCTCTCCGTGGAGGAGAGCAGGAAGCCCCTTTCCTGGTGAGCAAAGCCAGCATCAGTTTAGCCAGGACAGAACTTTTTCACTCAATAATTGCATGCTAAACCGTACTTACTCTGACGTGAACTTTGCACCTGTGTTGAGCAACAATACAATTGGTTCTGCTGCTGATCTCACCAAAAATTTTGATAGTCCCCCTCGTGTTAGCAAAAAACTATCTAAGAGCCGTGATGCCCCCAGATCAAATGCTAGGAAATTCCTCCCACCAAAGAAAAATGTGTTGGCTATTGGCAGTCGGGTATCTTTGACTGAATCCAGTCCCAGTGTCGCTAAGAATTGCTCAGCTGCTAAGAATCAAGAGGAAAGGGAAGAAGCAGATAAAGAGGTTGCTGCCTGGGATCCTGAGGCTGATCAACAGCATGATTTCATGCATAATTTTGCTGGAAAGCGGTTTAGAAAAGATAGTAGCGATGAAGTATTGCTATCCAGAAGCACTGTGTTGCAAGGGAGAAAAGGTAGAGGTTCCTTAAGTAGCTCTAGAAGGAATGAACCCATGGCTTTGGAAAGTTCTCAATTTGCACCCAAGTTTTATGGAAATGATGAGAGGGAAAAGATGGATACTTCTGGTACTGTTCGTGATGAATATCTGGAAAAAGTTGATGGCCTGGGAGCTGCTGAGAGAGAGGATCAAATCCATGATCGTGACATGATTACTGAAAAGCCTTCCCTAATTGGTTTCTGTGAAACCAAAGCGGTAACGAGTCCAACTGATCCAAGCATTAGTAATGATGAGCAAGAGATGTTTTATGGTGATGAACTGCAAGATGGCACACTTGGGCAGAATGTTCATAGCACGGAGGAAATGGATGCTCAAGATGGCCAGGGAAGCTATTTTCCTGAGGTTGATCCAATACTTATCCCAGGGCCACCAGGATCATTTTTGCCAAGTCCTAGGGATATGGGGTCAGATGATTTTCAAGGGAATTCGTCACTAACCACGAGCCGAGTTCAATCATCTCAAGATCAACTTGACTTCATCGATGGGGATTCATCAGATTCACCTGTTTCTACAACATCAACCATCTCTAATTCCAGAGGGACAAAATTTGATCCGAAGTATTCTGAACCCTTATCATCCATAGGACCTCAATCCGCTCAAGACAAGATCGGGCCGGGCCTATCGCGTGCAGTTAGTGGCACTTCTGAAGAAATTAATGCCACCGTAGCTCAACAGATTACTAGTACAGCAGCTGACAGACTTTCTTTTGATAGAGAAAACCTTAAGGTCAACAAGATATCTCTCGAGAGGGGACCTATCAGCTTCAAAAGTAACGATCAGCCTTGCTGTTGTCAACGGAAGGATAGAACTTCTCTGGGTGTGGCTTTAAATTATCAAGAATCACCACTATTAATGCGGCGAGCAATGGCAGTGCCTGCCTTGGGAAAGCAAATGGGTGGCAATCCAAACACAAGAACTAACACTTTGGAGTCGGGGTCTGACATGTCAGGCTCGTTCTTTCTGAGCGGTTGTACAACATTGAGATCTGAACAGGCAGTTTTCCCTGTCACCAAGTCATCTTCCGGTCACCATCCTTCGAAGGGTTCTCCAGATGGCAAAGGGAAGTTGTCCGGCCACGGTGATTGCGATTCTGTTAGTCCGTCCGCTTCTAATTCGATACTCAGGCTAATGGGAAAGAATTTGATGGTGGCCAACAAAGATGAAGATACATCAGCTCCACCGGTGCAGGCTCAACCACATGGGCAAACTAACCAACTAACTTCACAGTTTCCGACATTCTCAGGAGTTGTTCCTGGCAATCTTCAGAATCAGTTTTACCATTCCTTTCAACATAATTTCCCTCATGGTTCCGTAATCTTAGGTCAAGATCCACATAACAAGGTGGGGGAATGTTTTAGAAGCTATAGCAATCCGAAGACACCACAAGTGGTTGCACGAGGACCTGCAAGCTTGTTTCCAAAACATCGTACAGATGGCAGTTTTGTGTCATCCATGGAGCCTCATGAGCATAAAGGCGATTGTAATTATCCAATGCCACAGAACAGGTCTATAAGCAAACCCATTGGAGGAGCACCTGCGTTTCATATCGAGAGCATTATGAACCCTCCTGACCGCCAACGCAAGAATGGACATTCTGCTTTCAGTGCCAGTAAAGAAATTATCATCATTGATGATGTTCCGGAAAGTGAAGCTGATTTGGCCTGCAATGTTGCAAAGTACTCAGAAGGGTTGACGGAAAGCCAAGTAGTTTGTTCCAGCATTCCAGTACAAGCGGCTCCGAGTTATAACTCAAAGCATGTGAAGAATCCTTTCTCTCATTACGAGTCACAGGAACCTTCTTTACGTTGTGGATCACCAGTTTTGTACAACACCACCTTGCATGCAGTTCCCTCCAGGCTAGCCACTAATAGTAGTCCTGTTAAATGGAGCTGTACTACTTCAGAAGGCTCGGGTGTGCTGCAGCGGGCTCCTTTTCTTGCAGCACCATCTCCAAGAGGACATCTGAGATCTACACTGTACTCTCCGAGCTTGTCATAGCAAAACATGTGGCATTTGAATGATGAGCACAAGGTTTTGCATTAATCAAACTTGTACTGATCGTAGCTCGTAGATTACTGATTTCCGGAAACTTAAGTCTATGGCAAAGAAATGGCGTGCGGTTGATCAAAGATGGAGCCTCCACATGCTTATGCTGTTACTCTACCAAATGTTGATTCGAAATGATGCAATTTTTTTTCTTCAGGTTTCTGCTTAGGCATGCTTTTTGCTACCCAGAGAATAGACAGTGTTTTACAGTTGACATAAAAGCTTGGCTCGAAAGTGAATATTGTCGAGCATCGGTATAAGTCAAGTGTTTATGTATTTTCTGTCCCTTTTCTTCTTTCTTATAGATTTTTGTTAGAGGTACTTAATTTCCTTGTGCGTTTGGCCTCTCCTTGATCAAATGTGAATTACAGCACCATGTTCTAGTCTTGAAAATCGATTTTTTTTCCGGTTCATCGCGAATCGCGAATCCCGATTCATCTGCAGTTCCGTTAATTAGTACGCATTCGACTACTTCAAAGATAGATCAAATTCATTTGCTTGGAGGGCAAGAGGTTCTTTATAGTCTACGTTGATTCATCATTATTTTTAAGAAAATTTATGTAAACATATAGCTAAGTTATATATAAAACTGGAATTGAATATATTTCTCTCATTTTTTTCTGGTCTGGAAGTAAAAATGTTCATGCTTATTCAAAGTCCTGGTAACGTCAATTAATCTTTCTATGAGCAGAAGAGCTTTGGAATTCATGGTTGCAAATGAAATGGTGGTCGAGATAAAATTTGCATCACCAAATTATCTTTGATTGCAGAATAACTATGCAATCAACTGTTCAAAATTTCATGATGAAAAATCAACATGCATAAATGTAATGCAGTCAAAATTGATCATCCTTCTTACACACATATGACATATATACATATACATATACATATATATATATATATATATATGTTATCCTTCATCTCTGATTAATTTAATATTGTATGTGTTTCTTTTACTGATAAAAGAGATGCTCCACCAATTGGATTCGGCCGAAACAACGTATCTTCTACCTAGCCCATATTTATATGCATTTGTAGTGGGGTCTGAGGAGTACACGAGTTGAATGCACACGCAACAGTGACGAATGAGACCCCATTCTATAGAATTAGGGTAATTCTATGCAGGTTTCCTGTCACTACTTATTCTTCGTTTGTTGCTTTCTCTTAGCTTCATTTTCCATGGTACGTAACAAATATATATATATATATATATATATTTATATTTATAAATATGTATATATATGGTACTATATATTGACTTTGCTTGTTCATGAATTCATGAGCATGCATGGACGTTTACCACGAAATGTAGCCGTTAGAGAGAGAGAGATAGAGGTGCATTGCATGGTCAATTTAAGCTACATATAAACGACTAGATGAAACACAAAAAAATGGCCGTTGGATTCGCATTATATCATAGATGCTTAATAATGCATTCCGCGGTGGTACTTCGCTTTATAAGGTGCTGAAGTAAATTGACGACAAGAGCAATTTACAAGAGTATATTGTTGTTGTGATGTTTTATGTTAATAATATAATTAAACAATGTTATGCAAAGATGAACTTACACATATAAATACATTATTAATGTGAAATATCACGATTATCGTGTACTCGTGTTATGTAAAATACTGCCCATATGTGAGAGAACTGAACACTTTTGTTTTCTTTCACAACAACATAAGTTAAAGCCATTGTTTTTATGTGTTTAGATTAAAAAGTAGGGGATAGTTAGGAAAGCAAATGGATGGAAGGCGGGGATGTGAAATTTGCATGGTGAAAAGCTGGACAACTTCTCATTACACTCTTTACAAAGACAATGGTTCTGCTTGTTTAAATTGTGGGTTGTGGACAGTCTTTGTCTTTCTTCTTGTCAGTTTATTCTTACTAAGCCCCCTCAAAAGCATTACTTGGACTTTATTTTATTTTATTTTATTTTTATTTTTTATAGAAGCATTACTTGAACGTTGAAAACTTGATTCCACGAGTTTGTAAGTGAATCCATGTAACCAAAGTTTCATTTTAAATTTTGTTTCTTTACGAAGAAGTTGGTCATACAGGTTTTTCTTCTTAAAAATTAATTCTAATGTATCTAGTTTGTACGTAATTGAATGTATGCGAATGTTTTTAAATTTTATACTTGACGAGAAAGTTGGTTGTTTGATTACAGAAAGAAACTTGGTTTTTCTATGCATTAAAGATTTAAGAAAACATGATTGGTCGTTCGGGATAGCTTTGTTTAGGAAGGGAAATCTGAATGACCAACTTCATAAAATTACTTGGTTAGGGTCCGTTAAGGACTATTTTTGTTAACACATCTCATACTCACTTTTATTGGAAGTAATTTTATTAGGATCATTAGATAATGTTAGAGAAATTAAATTTTATAAACTAAATGACATGAAAATTGATGATTGAATTATTACTTAAGTGTTGATTAACATGCTTATTTTTATTGATAACATATTATTTAGTTTACAAAGTTAGTCTAACTAACATTACTTTTTAATTAACTGAAAAAGAATAATGCTAGGAAAATTAAATTTGTACACTAAATTTCCAAACTAAATAAGGTGTTATCAATTAAAAATAAACACGTTACTCAACATTTAAGTAATAATTCAATCATTAATTTTTATGTTATTTAATTTACAAAATTTAATCTAATAGTATTCCCTTGACAAGATTGTCCTTGCACGTCTCGGTGGAAGTGGAAATATTTTATTAATGTTGAAAGGCTGATAGCTAGTCAATTTCTGAATTCTGAGTACGTCTGGACAAGAACAAAAGTCAAAACACAATGCTTAATAATTAATTAATTAATTTGAACACTAAGACCATCTCTAATGGTTGAGTTAAAAGTCAAATTTTTTAGCCCGAAAAATTTAGCTTTTAGCCCAAAAATAGCTTTTCTACTCCAACCATTCTACCCTAAAATTTTAGCCCCGGATTATTAAAGAATGAATTTAGGCTATTTTTTTTGTTAAATTAAATTTTTTTAAAAAATAAATATGTAGACTATCGTAAATTAATTTTATGAACATTTTAATCTAAAAAAAATTAAATTCTGACAAATATTGGATAGAGTCCATCCCGATTTTTGGGCTAAATTTCGGGGGGAATTTGGCATTGGTTTAGCATTTAGCTCAAAATTTCCCCTTGGGTTGGAGTGCGTTTAGGGAAAAATTTTGGGAGGTAATTTAGATTTTAGCCCACCATTGGAGTTGGTCTAACCAGCAACAATGGACATGAAGTCTGTGAAATTTGAATACATATGATACTGACACCTTTGACACTCGAGAGGGATCATGAGTTGAGTCTGAATATAGTGACAAATTGTAAACCCTAGCAAGTTTAGATTAAACTCTAAGAGTTAAACGTACCCGCCCAAATTCAACTCAAATCTGCTTTACCATTCTTTAACTTCCAGTTTACGTTAAATTTGAGTTCATTTATATTAAGTTTTTCTCTTGGTTGAACTTAGAGTTGAACTTGCGTTCTGTAGACTAAAGTTTTGGCTTGCAGATTTTCTTTGGAGTGATAGTGTGTGGTGGGGAGAATCGAACTTAGGACAACGTACGTAAGCGTAAATGTTTTTGATCACTTGATATACAAATTTACGGTGTCTTAGCTTATGAATTAGAATGAACATTTAGTTCAATCAATTGAAAAAATTATTCATTGTGGCAATCAAATTGTCATGTAATGTTATAAATCCACTTATGTTATAATATGTGTATCGTTTTAGTGATATTATAAGTTCATGAATAACAACCTTATAGTTTACGCTTATTACAACACTTAAATTTGTAACATCCTGCACACACAAAATTTAAAGTTTATTTGAAGAAGAAATACAATCTTTTCTCTTGAGAAACATCACAATAGTAGACATTCGTCAAGAGATAAACTTACTTACAATTCGAGGTTAGTAATTGTAGGAGGCCTTTAAGGGAAGATTTTTTTTTATTTTATATAAATAGAGATTAGTTCTATGTCTCACATTGCATTAGATTTTAACTATCCGAACAGTACATTTTTCAAGTTGCACCTTATAGATTATCCTTACAAAATATTAGCCAAATCGGAAATATTTGAGGCATTTAATTGAGTTGAAAGAAATTGACAAACACTTTGTTATCTAACAAACATTGAAATTTTATTATGATAATTAAATAGGCAAATGGTTTCGAATTGTATTAAATTTTTGTAAGAATGATCTATGAATCGAAACTTACATAATAGACAGTTTGAATCGTTGAAATTTAATGCAAAGAAAGTCCCGCAACTAATTTCCATTTAGAAAAAAAATAGAATTCCCTTTCTCTTAAGGGGCCTAAGTAATTGTAAATTGTCACAACGTACACAATATTTTTTACCATTTTACTACAAAGTATGGAAACTCCACAAACCAACCCAGTCTCCATCTTCCTGTCTGTCCCACACAATCCCACTCACCAACCAATCAAACTGACAGACTGTCACAGCCTCACATGATCTTCATATTTTACCCGTTCATCGTTTATTATGTGATCAATTTTTATCAAGTATTTATGTTTAATTTTAAATAAAAAAAATCAAATAATTTCTAATCACATAATACACGATAAATAATTAAGATATAAGAATTTTTAATTTCCCTACCATTTGGATTCGGATGGAATCAAATCCCAGCCTCACGGACTTCACAGAGTTGAAGGGTAGGTTGACGAGTCAAACATTCAAACTCCCACTCCAAAAAATGTCGCCGTCAAAGCCACAGTCACACTCCGTCACAGCAACAACCTATACCAGCATACCCATTTCCGTCTCGGGCTCCGACGCCATCACCCGATCCATCAAAAACCTCAACGACGCCGTTTCCCGCCGCCGCCCTTGGTCCGAATTCGCCTCCTCGATCTCCCGACTCGACTCCTTATCCTCCGCCCTGACCCGTATCCAGACCAACGCCAACCACTTCCGGGTCAATTACTTGTTATTGATCGCATCATGCGGGGTCACCACGTCAGCGATTGGGCCGTGATGGCGGGTTTGGTGGTTGTTTCTGGTTTGGTTGCTTGGGCGAGCAGTGGGCTTGTGAACGTTACATTGGGCCTCGGAGTTGGGCTTGTCTTGTGTGGGGTCCACGGGCTGCTTCGGAACACGGAAGGCTTGTTTCTCAACGAGAATGAAGCTGCTTCTCAGGGATTGATTGGGCCCACATATTCAACAGTCTGATAATTCAATTATTTATTTATTTATTTTTAAATTCGGGTTTGGTGTGTAATTTTGTGTGACTTCAAAACAAGCGACAAAGAAATGTTTGTCGTTTTAATTTTTTTTTTAATTTTATATTTTTGAATTTTTTGGGATGTTTTTTTTTTTTGGATTTTGGTGTGTTTGGTGGATTGATTTTTGTGTGTAAAAATGTAATTGACAATGGACTGTGTTTTCTTTTGTAACATTGATTTGTGGATTCTATTTTCGATGGAATGAAAACATTTGATTTCATTTTCACTTGTGTCATCAAATCCTTCAAGGGCGAGTCTTAGCGTAATAGAATTGTTGCTCTTTTGTAACCAAAAGACTATGGGTTCAAGTCGTGAAAACAGTCTTTCTTTGCAAAGTAAGATAAATCTGCCTACGATAGACGTTTTTCATTTGATCCTCACAAAGTGAGGAGCCTTGTTGGTTTGTAATCGCTCTTTTACTCTAACTCACAAGGAGAAAATTGGAATTCAGATAAAAAATAGCAAAAAACACTATTATGATCAACTGATATAACCGAGTCCGAATTTCTATGTTCATACGCAAATATTACCTTGATTGAGTTGTACTGAATTGCACATAAGTTTGTATGCAGTCTAGTTAAAGTGATAGAAGAAAGGTCCGTGTGACCCTAACCATAACACATTCTATGGACCATGTCACCTCACACCTGGCAAACCTTTTATTGCTTTATCTATCAAAATAGGACCCTTGATTTTAGTGCTTGTAAATGTTACATTCGCTAGAGCAAATGTATTCTCTAAGATGCAAATGGATTCCTTCATACGTACTCGAGCTTTTTTTTTGCAGTTTAGTTAGTTTAAAGTATAATATCATCTGTAAAAAAAAAAATGAAATTTTAGTACGCAAAGCCGAAGGAAAAAAAAAAAAAAAAACACAGAAAACAAACTGCAAATTTTCTGTGCTCGTATTCTCTAACTAGAAGAAAGTATAAGGTATACTAAATTGCTGATGTTACAAACTAAACTAGGATTTGATTACAAGTGTCAACAAAACTGAGTTCCTCATAGAACGAAGGATTGCTTGTGTCCAAAGCAACAGAGATTTTCATTTCATTAAATCTTGCTTCTCAGTCTCACTTACTTTGCCAAAGTTTCTCGAGCTGCCAATGTCTGGGCATAGTTATGCCCAAGCATCACTGTTCTGATGCTACTACAAGTCCCGCACAGCTCTTCGTCGCTGTCGAAATGCCCGACTCTAAGCAGCAATTTCGCTCTCGTCTCCAGCAACGTCGCCTAAGCCTTCAACAGCGTCACGTCTTGCTTCGTCCACCCTTTGGTTGCTTTGCAGCTTGTTCTTCCAGCAGAGAAAGCTGTGGCACTGGTCTTGGATTTGGGAATACGAAGGACTTCGCTACTTCTTAGAGTACGTTAGTGCATACCTTTAGAAGCTCCAGTGCCCGAGACACGGGCACATACGTCATATACAAGTGGAGGAACACTTGAAAAAAACTTCCTCCACTTACAGTAACATAGCACTGCCTCGTGTTTCAGGTATATTGAAAAACTCTCCTATGTGAGCCTGAAAATGAAAATTTAACCTAACGTGGGTTTGAATGACGACGCGTTTGCAGCTGTTTAGATCGACAAGTTCACCTTTTATTACTAAAACTAAATTAATGACAATGTATTATATATGGTACCCAGTCCTTAGATTGATGATATGCACGAATCACAGTTCATTTGATTCTGCAGTCATTGAATGGAAAATACAATCCTGAGCATAACAATTCACTCAAATAAAACTGAGTAAAAGATTATAAATTTTTACCATTCTAAAATTTATCTTTAATGGGGGACAATGATTCAAAACTGATATAATTTATGAAAAATGATATTCGAACTCGAGTACAAAGAGGGAGTGATTACGTGTGGCTGGCACCTTGATTTTATATGAGTTCGTTTGAATGTACTTTTAAAATGATTGAAAACTTTTTTGATGAAAACATTTTTGAAAACAATCCTTAGTGAAAATGTTAGTAAATCCTAAAAAACACATAACTGATGCTTCTTGAAAAAAACACTTAAAATGCTTTTGGAACCCAAAAATATTTTCTCTAAAAGCGCTTTCAATCATTTTAAAAACACATCCAAACGAGCCCTATATCTACGGGCTCGTTTTAAAATATTTTTAAAATAATTAGAAACTCTTTTATAGAAAATGTTTTTGGATTCCAAAAGCATTTGAAGTGTTTTATGTAGTAAACATCAGTTATATGCTTCTTACAAGAAGAACTTTAAGTATTTTTTCGAGATTCACGTACATTTTTACTTAGAATTAGTATTAAAAATATTTCACCAAAAATAATTTCAGTCATGTTAAAATCACTTCTAAACAAGCCTTACAATGAAAGAACGTCAAATAATTTTCCTAAACAAATGCTATAGTTTAATCCAAACTACTATAATACCAACTTAATCCATGTTTGTAATGCTAAATGAAGCAATAATAAATGAGGAGAAACTCGAACTTAAAACTTCAAGTGCAAAGTAAACGTTTATAACTACTTGAATTACAAGATCTTTGTCCGAAACGAAGTTTTAGAGTCAAAGCAAACCATAAAACAAAATTACCAATAAGAGCAACTCCAGCCCATGCCCAATGGACTGGCACCAAGTGAAGAAAATGGACTAGCACCAAGTGAATCAGCTCCAACCCGTGCAACAGGCTGGCACCCAGCCCGTGCCAGTCAAGAGCCCAGCCCAAAATGGACAGACCCAGAGGTCGGTCCGTTTCACTGGCGCGTGCACAACACGCGGGAGTGGTGCGAGTAGCCGACAACGTCTGCAGCAGTGGGGCCCACAGTGCAGGGCAAGTGGACTGAGTCTGTCAAAGGGCTACGTGGCCCTCCTCAGAGCCGTTGGATTTCTAACGGTTAGTTTTTGTAGGCCGTTGGATTTCCAACGGAAAAAAATTTTAAATTTCACTTTTAAATTCGACCGTCCGATCACAGATCAACGGTCCACGTTTATTTCACCAAAAATTTAAAAAAAAAAAAAAGGCCCAACGGTCAGAAATTTGACCGTTGGCCACGTGGCAGTGTGTTGGCTGTTGGATTTGATTATTTTTCAAATCCAACGGTCCAGATTAATTACAACATTAAAATTTATTAAAAATTAATTAAAAAATGTCAAAATTTTTTTAAAAAATACAGAAAAATTTTAAAAAATTAATTTTTTTTTCTATAAATACCTAACCCTCATCTTCCACCTTACACCACATTTCAATATTTTCTACACTTTCTACACTTTCTACATTTGAATATTTTGTACACTTTGAGAGAAAAAAATGACTTCGTGGAAGTTCAGTGAAGATGTTACATTGTGTGAATGTTGGGTTCGCACTACTCATGACCCGATTACGGGTAATGAGATGGATAAGCGAGAAATGTGGAGTAAAATTACGAAATCGTTCAACGATGTACATGGAAAAGATGCAAGATCTAGTCAAGGTCTTCAAGGTCGTTGGAAAAAACTCAACGCATCCTTTACTTGTTGGAAAAACGCCCTCTCTCATGCTTCTGGTAATTTGCGTAGTGGGACAAGTTTAGCGGATGAGGTAACAATATTTTTATTTATTTATATGCATTCCACCCACATCAATATTTTAATTTATTTAATTTCTTATGTAATTTTTATGTAATATGCATTCCACAATACTTATGTAATTTTTATGTAATTTTTATATAATTTTTATGCATTCCACAATTCTTATGTAATTTTTATGTAATTTTTATAGACACTACAAGCACAAGCATTCTACAATGCAAAGAACCATAACAAATCATTCAACAAATGGGAATGTTGGCAAATTGTCAAAGATTGCCCTAGATACAAAATTGTGGCAACCGGTCCAGAAGTTGTCATGCACGGTATGGGTCTACACAGTTCGCCAGAAGCAGAGACACCCGAACAAGAAGCCAACACATTTGAAGACACGGAAGGGATGCCTGAACAAGTGCCAGAGACCCAACTGACTCGTCAGTCCCTCAGGCCTCAAGGTAAAAAGGCATCAAAGAAAAAAGGTAGTTCTTCCAAAAATGACTACACTAAATATATGGAGGAACTTACTCGTCAAGGTGAACTGAACATGGCATGGGAAAAGACTAGAGATGAGGAAAAAGCTGCTGCCCTGGCAGCAATTATTGCAGCTACTGAAGCTCGTGATGAGGCGACTGAGAGACAAAGAGAAATAGTTAATCGAGAGAACGAGATGATTAGAGAAACACTTCATCGAGAGAATGAGATGCTTAGAGAAGAAAGGATGGCTCAAACAGATCATGACACTATGAACAAGTCTCTAGTAGGACTGTCTCCGAATTCAAAATATTTTTGGACATCAGAAAAAAGAGATGTCGTGCGGAGGAGGCGTGCAAGAGATGTCGAAACAAGTCAAGGGGGTTCCAGCTACAGAAATCCTAGCAATCAAGATCCTAGCACCACATATCCTAACTCCACAAACTTTATTTAATTTCTTATGTAATTTCTTATTTATTTTTAGAACTTTATTTAATTTCTTATGTAATTTCTTATTTACTTTTAGAACTTTATTTAATTTGTTATGTAATTTCTTATTTATTTTTAGAACTTTATTTAATTTCTTATGTAATTTCTTATTTACTTTTAGAACTTTATTTAATTTCTTATGTAATTTCTTATTTACTTTTAGAACTTTATTTAATTTCTTATGTAATTTCTTATTTACTTTTAGAACTTTATTTAATTTCTTATGTAATTTCTTATTTATTTTTAGAACTTTATTTAATTTCTTATGTAATTTCTTATGTAAACTTAAAACACCAAATAAAATTACATAAAACACCATTTAAACTTAAAACACCATTTAAACTTAAAATTACATAACCTCACCATTTAAACTTAAAACACCAAATAAAATTACATAACCTCACCATTTAAACTTAAAAATAAAAAGCAAACACACTAAATAAG